CCTATCACAGAGAGCAGCACGTGCATAGACTAAGGGACCAGTGAGAAGGTATTTTGAGACTTTTGTGTGGCTGGAGAGTAGGATATCGAGTACACCAATGACAACGACACTAATTAATGAACCCACATGAATGCACATACAGTTCTTGTCACATGCCAGGTATTGCTCTTAGCATCTAACATATCTTGACCTATTTAATCTCACAAAAGTCTTATGAGGAGGACTACTATTTTCCCCAGTTGGCAGAGATGAAGAAAAAGGTATGAAGAAGTTGTCACCAGTCTGGGGCTATTAGACAATTAGCAACTAATACTTTACATGACCACGAGCAATAGAGTTGGCTGGGAATGTGGTATTACAGAAGAAACTGATAGTCAGGGAACCCAGTTCTCCATGCTTGGTTTAACCTTACTGAACTCTTAACGTTCTCTAGACCAGCCAAAGGAAGGTGTTTATGCTGCCATTGTCAATCTCAAAGGGCACTAGTGAAGACAGAATGAAAAGATAAGTGAAAAGTGTGTTTTGAACATGAGTCAACATTCAATAAGATTCCTCATGTCCAGGACATACACATTTTCTCCAGTGTAGGTGGGGGCATGTAGAGAACCCAGGGTTCACAGAGTATGACTAGGTTGCTCAAGGTCACAGCCACACTACCAGAGTCAAGACTAGAATCCAGAGCTGTTTACCTCTGCAGGTAACAGACTACATTAGTTAAAATTCCGGAGTCAGAGAGTATCTGGACTGAATTTTGGTTCTGCCATAAGATAGCAGCTGCCTGATGCCAGGAAGTTTCATAAATTCTCTTACACTTGTTTTCTTCATCTATAAAATGAGCATGATAATTTATACATTACAGAATCATGAAGAACATATGAAATAATATCTATGTGCTATTATTATGACTAATAATATGAACATATGAAACAATGATTTATGTATTGCCTGACATACGGTAAACAACCAATCAACTAAACGATGATGGTGCTGATGAAGAAGAGGGAAAGATGAGGAAGAGAAAGCTGAGGCAGACAAGGATGTAACACTGTTTCCATAAGTCCAGTACTTCACTCTTTCACAAAATGCTACAGTGGTTTTACATGAGCCTGTCTCTGTGGCTCACACACCTCCATTTGGAAGTCATGGTACATTTGTGCATAGTTACACACAGGTCCGTGCATGGTTCCCACAGAAAGCTAAATCACATTAGCTCTGAAGTTCTAATTAATGAACCCACATGAAGTAAATCATGCCTCATACATGCATGACCATGGAGCCCATGTGATTCATCATGCACGTCATATCCCATCTATTTCTGTGCAGTTTCATACTCAAATACCAGTGGGAAAAGAGAAAGCCCAAGACATCTCTTAATTAAAAATCCTATTGAGCCAGCTTCCTTAACACCTCTCAGATCCAGTATAGGTAATTCAGTCTGCTTAAACCTCTGTTTAAGAAAAATAAAGAAGCAAAACATTCAAGGGACACAAAAATCGAATATTATCTGTTGATGATAACATGGATGATAGTATTTTTAACTGGACTAATATACAGTGTATCCCTGCTGGGAAAATTCATTTTATAAGCTGTAATGAATATACAGTAATTATATGCATAAAATAAAATAAATGATAATCACAACAGTACACAGCTGTTTTGCACATCATGAAGGGAGACAAGTACATAGTATCATTAACGAGATCAGGAGTTCTTCCATGGTAGTTGCCAGTATTTGTCTGGATAGTGACACTGTATCCTAAAGAGAGCCTAAAGAAGACACTTCTTGACCTTACCAAGGATGCCATTTATTGGCGATTTCCTGTGTACCCGAGCACACACCTCGTGTGTCCACGACTTCTGTCTGATGGTGGAAACCACATGAGAATCTGATCTTTGCCAACACAGTGGGACATGAGTTCCCCTGGCTTTTTTCATGGCAGCACATGAATCAGTCTGGTCAGACAGAGGCCAGGGTGCCAAACCCAGCGGCCTCATTTGCACTTCAAGAATTTTTCATTTCTTTTTTCCCTCCCAATGAACATCTTAACAAATATTTATCTAACCTCCTTTCCTGACATGGCAGGGCACATACACACACCTGTCTCACACCTGGCTTCCTGCTCTTGAGAGCCTTATGATGTCTGGGAATGGCAACAGACTCCCCAGTACCAGAAAAAGGAAGCTGTGATCGTAAAGTGGCATGAGAGTCAGCTGGGGACAGCCTGATGGCAAATATTCTTAGGGCATGACTATCTGTGAGAGACTTGGGGAAACCACACACTTTTCCTTAGGACTCTTGCTATTGCAGTATTTCCAACATCAGGATCACTTATTTTTTGAGTTAAGTTTTTGATACTATTTATAATTACTATCCCTCAAAAAGCTGTCATTAATTCCTCCCCCCTTTATTTTTTTGGAGAGGTTTTTGCTATAGGGTGCATACACTTGCCAGAAAGACAAGAGAGAGACAGACAGAAAGCGAGAAATCACCCCCAAATGGGTGATTTCAATCCATATTGCAGCCATGCTGCAATCCCTTCTCCTCCATTCTCCTCTCAGGATCTTGGGCACTCACACACATGTGATCCGCGTGAATTTAAGCCACCGGGTCCAGGACTCGAACTGCGGTTCACTACATGGGAGTCCAGTGACTGGTCCCTATTAATTACGTCATCTGCTGGTCTCCCTTAATTCCTTCTTTTAATCAGAATTCTGCCTTTCATAGTCAAAATTTTCTAGTTGTCTGCCCCAAAATATTATGCATATTATCTCTATTAAGAGAAAAGAAACCTTAACTATATTGCATTGAATCCAACTTAGCTACTATTTCACTCAAGCTGCAAAATAACTCAAATAACTCCATGAAGTGGGACTGTTAATGATCCCATTATTTATTGAGGAAACTGAGGTTCAAATGTCAGGTTACTCAACTAACAGCAATAGCTGGTGAACAGCTACAGTGTCAGATTTGAACACCACATAAGGCGGTTCACTTTTCTGCAACTATTGAGCTAAATTTTGTCTTAGGTTGTGTCAATGGGAAGCAACAGCAATCTGGTGGCTTGGAGCAGGCCTGGGATCCAGTGTTCAGGAAAGGGTATACATAAGAGCATTTAGAGCAAAGTTTGGCATGTGGCAAGTACTGAAAGAATGGAAACTATTACTTTTTTCTTTTTCTTGGTTCCTTTATGCTCTGTCTCCGAAAGAGGAGTAATCAACACGATAGGGGATTCATTCATCTAAACTCCACCTGCGGACTTGCAGACATGTAAACCCAATAATAAAAATATCTTGAAAGAGCACTGGGAAGATTTCTGGACATTGGGAAGATCTTGGATAACTTTAGCTGTTTGGGAGAATCTCCTGCTCTGTTTTCCTTTGTGCTGTCTATGTTTCCCCATATAAATCAGAGGGGGAAAAGAACAAAACCAAACCAAACCCTTAACACGTACATCGTAAGAAGGGAGACTGTTGGTCTCGTTGGTGCTCATCAAAGATGAGAAGTAGGTATAGATTTTTAACTTCTTATACTTTAATGATATTTAGCATGTTTTCCCCTTCCGAATTCTCACAGTGGCCTTACTGTCTTCTTTTCAATAGGTGTCATCCTTGTTTACAACATGCGTGACCTATATCCCATTTTCCCTACTTAGTTTATCTGAGCTAATGCTAAGGGATTTAAATAATTTTGTTATTGTTTTTAATTTGGTAGAGGATACCTGTGCTCTCTGAAGAGAGACACAGAGAGAAAGAGAGAGAGAAGGAAATTGAGAAAGCATTTCCCATGGGGGATGGTCATGCCTTAATCCCTACACCTCAATATCTCCTTTAGGGATTTTGTGCATGCACACATATGCCTCCAGTGTGGTTTTCAGGCTATCAGGTCCAGCACTTGAAACACAACTGGTCATGTGGGATCCAGCTGCTTTAACCACCATACCACCTGCTGTTCTAAATTTATGACTTTGTACTCATGACTCACCAAAGGAACATACTGGAGGCAGCACAATTGCTGTATACCTCAACAAAACTATTTTTTAAAATAAATACAAGGAAATTCCAAAGTTGGAATGTCTCCCAATGACCACAGGATCCAAGCAGTCATCACTTCTTGCCTGGAAAATGACAATAGTCACTCTCTCCTTGGAACCTTCTCCAATCTTTCCTTCACCCTGTGGCTAGAATGACTTTTCTTAAAGAGCAAAGTGACACTGCTTGCATGCTTTGAAAATCCATATTGTACCCTACAAAGATGTACAACAATTAAATATAAATAAAAAATTACAAAAGAGAAAAAAGAGCAAGGTGACTATGTTGTCCTGTTAGTCCTTCAGTGGTTTCCAGTTACTTCAAGATCATGCGGAAGTTCTTGTCCTAGGCTCCCAACGTCCTGCCAAGCTCCCAGCCTGGCCTGTGCCACTTTCTACGCTGATCTCTATTTTGAATGAAAATACTTTCACACCTTAAATGAGTTCCATTTATTTTTTCTTATCTTTGGGTTTTTGTTCATGGTGTCCTCTCTGCCTGGAGCAAATCCCAACCTTTTCACTTCTCTGTCTGGCTTAGACTTCTTCATCTTTTGGGCTTTAGGTATCATGTTTTCAGGACCCCTTCAGTGTATCTCAAGATCCAACAATGAGTCCAGAGAAGCTCTATTTTTCCTCTATCACAGCCTGAAATCACCAGACTGCTTGTCCATAATTTCTATTAGGCCATAGTTTCTGTGAGGATCAGGAGCTTCTCTGTCTTCAGTTGCGTGCCCTGTCTCTGGCACCTAGTAGAAACTCAATAAATATATACTGAGTGAATACATAGAGGTCCCCAAACACACTCCATTGGTAAGAAATACTAACCAAGCAGAAAGAGAGACAATAGGAATTTTTAATGCATGGAAAGTCCTGCAGGGACTCTGGGCAGACCCACAGGTAGCAGGAAGAGGCAGGGGTCCTGCAAACTCAATAATGTCCAGACAAAAAAAGAAGAAGAAGAAAGAAAGAAAGTCCTTAAAGACCCAAGCTTCCTCACTGCAGCAGTCCTCGGGCTTCCTTCCTGATGCCGAAGAGGGCAAACAGTCTTTCCATAAGTCTCCTCCCGGGGTCCATGGCAGGAAGGAAGCTGAGTGGCAGGAGGGAGGAAGAAGAGGAAAGGCCGCTTGGTCTCCACCTGAAAGCTTCTGCCTCAGGACGGACTGCCATCCATAAGAAAAGGTTTAAAAAGGAGAGACTTTTGATAGAGTCAAATAATATCTTAGAAAAAATAAAAGAGAAAAATGAGTAATTCCATAGGTTACAAAGGTCTCTGTCCACTATCCAGAGAAGCAGTTTGCTTTGGCCTTGCTGGCAAGCTTCATCTGCCAGGCCCATCCTCAGCCGTCCCCCTGCCCACCCGGCCCCAGGATCCACGCCAGCACTGCTCCCCCTCCCATGGAGAGTCTCTGTGCTCATGGAGGGCGGTCCCCTCCCTCACCGGCCCTTGGACTCTCCATACGTGTTCCGGGCCATGGACACCATCTTCTCCTCACACGTGATTTTGGTATCCTTGAGGATGCTATACCACACCATGCCAGCAGGCCGGACTTCCTCGCTACGGCAGAAAAGGTAGGGCACGGTGTCCACACGGCTTTGGATGTAGGCGCTTCGCAGGAGGCTGGAGCAGTGGCTGCTTACCCGCTCTAGCCGCCGCAGGATCAGGTGGGCCTTCCTGCAAGGTAGGATAAGACAGCAATGATTAATGAAGCCCAGTGACATCAAGGGGTAGGCCTTTGGAGTGGTGAATAAAGGCCTATGGATAAATGAGGGCTCTCTATCCTATAATTTCCTATCCATTCATGAGCTGAGAGTGTGGGACTTCAAACATCTGTTCAAAAATTACTTTAGAACACATTCTCTTCAATTGTGCAGTGTGTGAAAAATGAAAGTGGGGGGGCAGACGGTGGTGTGTGATCTGGGCGGTTGAAATTGAGGGGCCATCACAGTGTTAAGACCCTGTTGAAGTGCTCTCTCTCTGTTTTTCTCTCTCTCAGTAAATAAGCTTTCTAAAAATGAAAGAGAAGTATAACCTTTGACCTAGCATTTTCACTTCTAGGATATGGGAGCCTTAGGAGTTAAAAGGTCACCAACCTTGGAACTTTAACAAAATAGGAAGGATAATAATTGGGGCCAGTAGATGGTATAGTGGTTACATCACTGGACCCTCACATAGTTAACCATGGCTCAAGTCCCAGATTCGGTGGTTTAAAACTCACACCAGGTATGGGTGTGTGAGTGCCCAAGATCCTGGGAGGAGAACAGAAGAGGAGGGACTGTGGCATGGCCACCTCTCCTGGAGGGGGTGATATCTCACTTTCTGTCTCTCTCTGTCTCTCTGGTGAGTGATGTGCCCTATAATAAAAAATCTCTCCCCCAAAAACAGAAATTGTAATAATAGAAAACTACAACAGCTAAAATGTATTGACTTTTACCAGGACCTAGACCCTGAGCATGTCTTTATATACATTTTAAACATGAAATTCAATATACACAAGAGTCTGAATCTATTGTTCTTCAACTGCTATTTAATGGACAAGGAGTCTAAGCAAGGTTCAGAGAAATTACATTACTTGACTGAGGTCAAGCATCAAGTTGACCACTAGAGTTGGGAAAACACCCACAAAGTCCTTCTCTGTCTTTCCTTGATTCTCTCTCGTATGCTTTTCATTCAATCAGAAAATTTAGAAATCTTGCTCTTTGTGCCTTTTTTGGTCAAAGCCTAAATATATACATATACATATATGTATATATATATGTATATAGGTACATATATGTGTGTTTGTGTATACACTTCCAAATCAGAACTTCTCTGTGTCTCAATTTTTGCCATCTTTAAAGTAGTAATGAAGGATGAAGGTCTTGTGCTCATCAGTTGGTTGTGAAAATAATTATGAGAAGTGACCAGTGCCTTGTACAGAGGAAGCACCCAAAGAGTGATGGCTGTTATTATAAAAATGTATTGCAATGATGCCTTGGGATCAAGGCCACATTACACAATAGTCTTAGCAAGAATCATTCTGTTCAATGGTGGTATCATTAGAAGCTCATCTAAAGCCGTTTTACCCAGGAGAGGGTCTATCAGAGATCTGACGGCTGCATAGACAAATAAGGCAAGGAGATCTTTGAGATGACTTGTTTCACTTTTTTTTAACAGTGGTACTGTTGACATTTGGAGCTGGATAATTACTTGTTGCAGGAGAATTCTGTAGGATGTTTGGCAGCATCACCAGAAGCCAATAATACTCCTGCCCCAGTCATGACAATAAAATTGCATCCAGACATTGCCAAATATCCTTTGGGAGGTAAAACTGCCCCAGCTGAGAACCCAGTTGACCTAGAATGACCTTCTCTCATTAAATATGTGGAAACTGAGGCTTAGAGAAGGAAAGGAATATCCTTTTCTAAGGTCACACTACAAGCAGCAAGGTTAAGGTGTCTGAACTGGGAACCCACATTTCTCTACACTGCAGTATCTTCAAGAAGCCCAGAGATCTTGCAAAGTTAGACGAGAGGTTCTATGTTCTGCTGCCCTCTCTGTGCCCCTCAGAGACCCCAGGAGGGAAGGAGTTTTACAACAGACCCCACAAATGGGAGACTGTATTAGGCACCTGTGTGCAGTTGAAAAAGGACTGAGCTTACGTGTGCGTGTTCTGTGGGCATGATTTATGAGGTGCCTTTCGAAAAGTCCTCTTTGTATAGTTCACCACTTGGGTGGAATATTTCCTGAGGTGCCAAGAATTCATCACTTCATAATCACACTCTACCCACAGACCTCACTCCTCTCTGGCAAATGCCCCCACATCTACCCTGAGGAGTCCGAGGACTTTATTTCTCACCCCTCTTCACTCAATTTCTTGCTCTGTTCCTGAGTAACATGGGAAATTCACTTCACATACCTAAACCTGTTTCTTCCTTTGAAAAGTGGGGGTTTACACAGTTGTGGCAACACAGGCGGTAAGGTAGCAAATCAATTCATGATACTGGAGCCATATGTGGGGGTCCAGGTTTGGATCCTGGGCTGCCTGAACACTCTGGGTATGCTTTAAATCTAGTTGCTAGAAGCCTGGGCAGCAGGGGATAGCAGTATGATGAGACCCTCACTAGGGTATCTGTCTTGGGAAAGAAAGAGAGAAAGAAAAAGAAAGAAAGGAGAAAAAGAGAAAGAAGAGAGAGAAAGAAAGAAAGAAGAAAGAGAAAGGAAGGAAGGAAGGAAGGAAGAGAGGAAGGCAGGCAGGCAGGCAGGCAGGCAAGCAAATAAGTTTTAAAAAAAGAAAATAGGGCTGCTATAAAGTTAAAGGAGATAAAGTTCATTATTCATATCTTGATCATTTATTGCACGGCAAAGCTTCCAAATCACTGGGAAAGACAAAGAGGTGGAAATTACAATGCAGATAGAAAGAACGATGATTAAAGAAGTCACAAGAGGTGTGGGAAGACAGGGAAGTGCTTTGGCAAGATGGGGGATGTCTAAGAAGGCTTCTTAGTAGAGGAAGAACTTGGGTTGGGTTTCATTGATAAATAGGAGTTGATAAAGAAGAGGCCAAGACATAACAGGCAGTACAAACACAGGTGCAGAATTAAGAGATTGCATAGATGTTCTGAGAATTTATAGCAGGCATGCAGAAAAAAAAGCAGTTGAAAACTGGATAAGTGAGCAGGGGAGAGGCTGTTGGAGCTTAGAAACTGAAGTATGGATTGTGTGAAGCAATGGTGCACTTTCAGACTCTGAAGCACTGAGTACTCAGGTTCAAATCCTGGCTCAGCCATGTAAGAACTGTGTGATAGTAAGCAAACTGTTGCACCACTCATGCCTCAGTCTCCTTACCTTTCCCACAAAATGACTATAATAAAGGAATCTACCATAAGATGTTGTTTTAATAATAGAAAAATAATGCATCTAATATTGTTTTAATAATAAAAAGGAATAATGCACTAAATCCTTAATAAATGTTATCTATGACTGTTATCTCAAGGGTAAATGAGGAGTTATTGAAGAGTTCAAAGAAGCAAGTAACAGGTTTGGAGCTGGACTGTTTAAAAACATTTCTGGATGCCTCAAGGAGAGTTAGCAGTGCAGGAGGGCAAAACTGGCAGTAGGAATCCAGGTAGAGGGAAAAACCAGGTGTTAACTGTGTCCTGTCAATGTATTAATGGTGTTGAATTGATTTTTCTCTCTGTGCTCATAAAAACCCAAGTTTTCTCTTTGAGAAACTAAGAAAAGGGAATAACACATTTTTCACCTCACAGAGTTATAATGAAGGTTAAATAAGTTAATATATGCAAAACTTGTAGAAAAGTGTTACATAGTAAGCTTACATAGAAGTATTTACATAGTAAGTATCTGATACATGTTAGAATGTAACATTTTTACCACCATCATTATCATCATCATCACCACCACCACCACCACCACCACCACCACCACCACCACGTCATTAGGTCTCCTGGGTATAACTTTCTACCAACAGTAGAAAACTGGACAAGTGAGCAGGAGCCAGGCCATTGGAGCTTAGACACTGGAGAGTAAGTTGTGTGGAGCAATGGTGCACCTACAGGCTCTAGAACACTGAATGCTCAGGTTCAAGTCCCAGCTCAGACACTTAATCGCTGTGTGATATTGAGCAAACTGCTTCACTTGAGCTTCAGCTTCTTTATTTGGCACTGGGGATAACTATGAACTAGTTTGAGCCATAATGTCTTTTTTTCCTTTCTTTTTGGAGAGGTTTTTGCCTTAGGGCACATGTACTTGCTGGAGAGAGAAAGAGAGAGAGAGAGAAACTGGGGGAAAATGAGAAATCACCACCCAGTGGGGATAGCCATGCCATAATCCCTTCTCCTCCATTTTCTTTTTGGGATCTTGGGCATGCATTCACATGTACCCAATGTGATTTTCAAGCCACTAGGCCCCAGACTCGAACATTGGTCAGCCATGTAGGAGTCCAGCAATGTAATCATTAGGCCATCTGCTGGACCCTTAATGTCTTTATAAGTCAGTGGCAGGAGACAGGCAGATAGAAATATTAACCTCCTCTAATTTGGGGCTGGGGGAGGATGCTAGATTGGAGAATATGAAGGATCCTCTGAGAGTAGATAAGGAGGACACTCAATCATTAGTTTAGTGGCTCAGAGAATGTAGCAACTGAGACAGGTCTTTGATGATGAAACAATTTTTTTTTCAGGTAGAGGAAATAGCCCATGCCAAGTTAGACTGCATAAATCACAAACTACTAGTTGCTGAAAATGACTAGTGAAAAGAATGGCTGGGAGAAAAAAGGAAAGAAAAGAGACTGGCTGGGAGTTCGATGTGCTTAGCAAAAATCAGACCACTCAGACTCTTCTAAGTCATGTTAAAGTTTTTAATTTTATTCTTTGGGCACTGGAGAGCTATTGTCTGATCTAGATAGTCACAAAAATAAGCAATAAATACAAAATGAGGTTGGAAAGGGCAATTCTTTGAATATGTCCAAATACTTCATCTGTAAATGACCAAGTGGTGCCTCTGAGAATATCTAGGAACACAACTGGACAAAGCCTCCTTTTGTATGGATGAGGAAAATGAAGTTTGGAGACAGGATATCATTTGCCTTGAAGGAACACCTTAGGTTAGTAACAAAGGCAAACCTAGAACTAGGCTTCCTTGTTGCATAGACTCAAGATAAGTGGTTGGCTCTG